CAATCTGTTGGCAAAAAAGTATACTTTGAATAAGCCTTATAACTTGTAAATTATGTTGAAGGTTTTGAAATTTATTATCTAATCATGTTTGTTGAATTTCAGTTATGATGCATAATCTGCCATCATATTATCTATCTCTAGTAAATATTAAGTTTTAGTTTAATCTTTTTTTAAAAACACATTTCTCATATCAATTCTGCTATTGTACTAATTTCTGATAAGACCACTTCTTCTTAGTAATTGAGGCAAACTATACAAGCAAGTTGTTTATTTTGATTAAGACTAACTTCTCTGTTAGATTTTTAAAAGTTATGAATACAAATTAAATTATCTTTATTTCTAAAATGTTGATATAAACTTTTGTTTCTTGTTGCTCTACAGACTACTTATCAACATGTTTTCTCTATAGATTTTCTATCCAAGTTGTAATATATCTATAAATATTGTAACTAATAGAATATTGGATATCAAAGACCAACTATTCCACTTCTATAAATAGTTTTTCTACCAATTTAGTTGTTTTATCACTTTTGTTAACAATTTTAAAGAAGTGTTTTATTTTTTTTCTTTTATTAACTTGTTTTTAATTTTATTAATTCTTATAATTTTAATCTTGCTGAATATACTGCATTGGCTATTGCTAACAGTTTTCTTATTATTGATGCTAACTTTCTAACATGAATTAGATATTTCTTTGCTATTGTATTGCATTCCTGTTTCATCTAGTTTAGCTTTTTCTTTGAAAGAAAAATAGTTATATCTCTTGAGTTTATTTTGAAATCCAAGTAATTTATAAATTGGGTAGATTTTGTTTAACTCTTTTGTTTGTTTATTACAAACTTCAACTTGGTGAGAAGGTTCTATGCTGTTTTGAGATTGCATTTTGGAGTGTTTTTCCTTTTTGCCATTATTAATAGTCATCTAAATATGTAATAATATGTATTCTTTATGATCTTAGTTTCTTAATCATAAGGCTCAAAAATTTTGTGAATATTTTAAAACAGGATGTCAAGCTAAATAGAAGATATTTAAAGCAAAACCATTGTTCTAAAAAATTGAATGCAAAAAATTTTTTTGCAGATAGATACAATGATATATAAAAGAAAGCATCTTTTATATTAATAGATACTATATAATCATTTCTTCTAATCAAATTTTTTACTGTGGTTATTAATTCTATTTTGAAATAGGTATATTTTATAAGAGTATTTATTGATCTTAGGTTCAAGACTACATGTTTCTTGATATTCTTTTTGTCTATTACTAATATGTTGAAGATAAAACAGAGTAAATTTTTTAAAATTTATTGTTTTGTCTATATTGAAACTAATTTTTAGATTTTCTCATTAATCATATTTATGTCTAACTGATTTTGAGTATTTTTTCTTATTTCTAATATTCTTAATTGAGGTTTGATATTTTATTCTAAAAAATAGCCTGTTGTAATTACTGACAATAGCTATGCATTCCTAAACATTTTAGCTACATTTGTTTGAAATGTTTTAACTGTCCAGATATTAGGCTTAAAATTATAAACAACTACTATATTAGTTATCCCATTGAGTGTTTTTTTAATTCTGTTTAAATTTATTTGGTTTATAGCATCTTTTGTCTTGTCTTTATATATAGTTTTGTTAAAATGATAGTTTTCCAATAAATATCGCTAAGATTGATTTGATGAATTTAAAAGAAAAAATCTACATTTTTTCTTATTTGTGTCACTGTATAGTTTGGATCTGGCATTTTCCTTCTCAACCAGATTCTTGAGTTTATCTTCAAACACACCTTTCTTATCCCTCATAATTATATGTGCTGGTAATATAGCTTTAAGAGCAAGAACTCTTCATAGATTATTTGTATATAATAGAGCATCTTATAATAGTTCTTGATTAGATTTCTGTAAAAAATCATATTCCATTCTTGTTCCAGAATCATTATAATTAGGTTTTGATACTGATAATGCCTTTTCAATATTGTCGATGAGATATAAAACTGCAGATGTCTAGTAAGAGATATTTCTGATGATTTTATCAAACTCCTTTTGTTGTTTTTACATAGCTTGTAGATAATATTGTTCTATTTGTGGTAGTTTATAATCGATTTCTGTGTTATATAGTTCTCCACACAATATTTTCTGATAATTTGTTTTTGAAAATGTAAAGTCTAAATAAATTTCAGTAGATAAGTTCTTGAGATCTCCCAGAGAAACCATGACTTTGGTTCATCAAAGTCAAAGATTTTATCCAAATCTTGTTTCTCTGTTTGAGCATTGTTGTTTGAATCATTCATTACTCATTGATAAAAGTAAGAATGTAGGTTAAATTATTGGTAATTCCCAAGAGGATATCTTATTAAGAGCAAACTGCACCAAAATAAAATGGCCTAGTAGTAATTGCTTGTATCGTAGAGGTATATAAAATGATTAATTAATTAGACTTGTATAATTTTGAATATACTAGAATTTTCTTTGTAATACAATTTGGAACACCAATAATAAAACAGGCTAAAAGTATGTGATCTTATTATATACTATGATATATATTTTTAATTATTAGTAGCGGCTTAACAATCACTTCTAATGTATAGGGAAACACAAATAAAATTTCCAGAAAATCAATTTATAAATAAGGATATATTGTACCAAGAAATAATCTGAAATAAAACAAATAGATTGCCAAGTGTAAAACAAACAAAAATCATTAAAGATTAGCACCAAGCAATACAACGCAAGTACCAAGAAATAAAAAGAAAGAATACTTATCTAAAGACAATTAACGATAACAAACTTATTATACTTAACTATTATACTTTTGAAATTAGAAAAATAAACTACGCAATAGTATAATATAGTTTAACAATTTAGAAATTAATATTGTATAGATTCGCATTATTCAAAATGTATTTAAACATCAAAATTTTACCTTAGCAAACTTTGTGCATATAAATTTCAAATTTAACTCCTTATATTCAACACTTAAAATCACCCACATATAAAAATTACTTTGATAAGTAAAAATATTTCGTACAAAGTCAATTTATGACTACCATTGTATATTCAGGAACATATAATAATTTATTATTATTAGTTATTCTTGCAATATTTTTAATGATTTTAACAATACTTATCATATTAGTAACAGCATTAATTGCTAAACATTTTATTTATCAAAACTTAAACTATTGAATTAAAC